AGAAATCAATCCAGCAGCGGCTAGACGATGCAAAGAAGAATAACGTAAGACTGATTGGAGTCAAGGAAGAAACAGGAGAGCGTGCAGATGACATAAAAAAACTGTTCACAGAAGTAATGGGAGAAAACTTCCTATCAAATAGGGGAAAAGAACTTGACATACAGATAAGTGAGGCACAGAGGACTCCAAATAGCCTTGATCAAAAAAATCTACACATAGGCATATTAATAGTTAAGATTCCAGAAACCCAACGGAAGAACAAAATTCTACAAGCAGTTAGGGAAAAAAAACGAATCACATACAAAGGAAAGCCTATCAGAATCACAGCAGACTTCTCAATGCAAACTGTGAAGACAAGAAGACCTTGGAGTAACATATTTGAAGCCCTAAAGGAAAACAGCCTCCAACCCACATTGATGTATCCTGCAAAACTATCTTCCTGAATTGATGGTGAAATAAGATACTTTCATGACAAAGAACACCTTAGGCACTTCATGAATTCCAAGCCAGCACTCCAAAAAATTTTACACAATATCCTAGGAAAAGACAACAAGGATCACAACCTCAGGAAACACAGCAGAATGAATCTATCAGGCACAACAAGAAATTAAATGCAAAGGGGGAGAATCCAACAAAAACAAAAAGTCATGAAAAGGATAAGTCAATATATATCAGTTATAACCATCAATGTTAATGGTCTCAATTCACCAATCAAAAGAAAAAAACTGGCAGAATGGGTCAAGAAGCAAGATCCAACAATATGCTGCATATAAGAAACACACTTAATTAAAAAAAACCTGACAGACTGAAAGTTAAAGGGTGGAAAACAATATTCTAAGTGACAGGAACCCGAAAAAAAGCAGGAGTAGATATCCTCTTTGCAGATAAAGTGCATTTCAAACCAACACTGATTAAGAGAGACAAAGAAGGACACTACATACTTGTAAAGGGAACAATCCAAGAGGAAGAGATGACTATCATTAATATATATATGCACACACACACACAAAATATATATATACATATGCACCAAACACAAGTGTGCCCAACTATATAAAACAAATACTAATGGACATGAAAAATCATATAAGCAGTAATACAATAGTAGTGGGGGACCTCAATACCCCACTGTCACAAATAGATAAACTAGACAAAAAAAAAAACGAAATACTAGAACTCAAACTCTTGAACAAATGAACTTAACAGATGTTTACAGTGTTCCACACCACACAAAATCAGAATACACATTCTTTTCAGCTACATATGGCTTACTCTCTGAAACAGACCACATACTCACTCACAGAACATGTTTAAGTAAGTGCAAAGAATTAAATCCCCAGAGGAATTTAAGCTATCCCCTGTATATTATCAGATCACAGTGCGATGAAATTGGAGATCAACAGCAAAAGAAACTGCAAGAATTTCATAAACACATGGAAACTGAACAACACACCTCTGAGTAACCAAAGGGTCACAGAGGAAATTAAAGAAGAAATCAAGACAGTTCCTACAATTAAATGACAATGCCAATACAAAATATTGGAATATATGGGACACAATGAAAGCAGTCTTATGAGGGAAATTCATAGCAGTGAATACTCATTATTAGGAAACAGAGAGAGCTCAATTAAACAACCTCATGCTGAACCTCAAGCTTCTAGAAAAAGAAGAGCAGGACAAACCCAAAGCTCATACAAGGGAGGAAAT